GAGAGGGAGAGAGAGAGAGAGGGAGGGAGAGAGAGAGAGAGGGAGAGAGAGAGAGAGAGAGAGAATGGTATTAGATATTAAAGGACTTCACTGTACATACATTAGATTTTGGTGACCATGATGATAAAACTGATCGAAACTTTGGCAACCAAATCTCCCAAACTAATCTGTCGTAATTATCCATCCTATTAATATATTAGTATCAGTATCAGTATCAATATCAATATCAGTATCAGTATCAATATCAGTGTCAGTATCAATATCAGTGTCAGTATCATTAATATATCAGTATTTACTTATCAGGCTCAGGAGGAACTGCTGATGAATAATCTGATTCCCTCAGTAGGTTCCTCCATTGGTTGAATACATTAGCAGGACCAGTAGGGTCAGATGAAGGATCCCAACCAACCAATAGCCTCTGTAACTAAATAATAATAATAATAATAACAATAAACAATAATAATAACAATTAAAAATGAAAAATTGTCTCCTTTTCAAAATCCCTGTAATATAGTACAGGGACTTTGGCCCACTAACTTTAGAAATTAAAAAAAAATTCTTTTGATTTGAATCAGCTCAAACATACAGTACATGTACATGTATAAAAACCCATTAGTTCCATTGTCACAAAATCCATGACAATTATTTTTTGACTAATTTTAGAGCAACTTTACAAATTTGTAAAAAAATCCAATTTTGATTGGAATCAGTTCAAACTTTCTACGCAACATAAGAACATGTATATGTATCAGGAAATGTAATAAAATTGAGGAATTCTCTCCTTTTCATTTTTGGCGAAATTTGGCAAAAATCCCTGTACTATAGTACAGGGACTTTCGTCCAATTTTGGAGCAGCTTTAAAAATTTGTAAAAAATCCAATTTTGATTGGAATCAGCTCAAACTTTCTACACAACATAAGAACATGTATATGTATCAGGAAATGTAATAAAATTGAGGAATTCTCTCCTTTTCTGAAAATGTATCAGAAAATGTTCATGCAATACAGTATTAGTGAATAGTGATACATACCATTGGAAATACAACAGCAACTGCAATTGAAGACAATTCGTACAACTAAAGAAACTGTTAATAGCACCGTGTATACTTTAGTATACTTACTTTGTATTCCTCAGGATATTTTTCTAGTAATCTTGTCAGTATATCGTCACATTCCGTTAGGGTAATTCTCACTGATGAATCATCAAAACTAAAATAATAATTAATAATAATAATAATAATAATAATAATAATAATAATAATAATGAGATAGGGAGAGGGGCGT